CCACTGGTGCCAGTGAAGGTGTGTTTTATTCATGTGTATGGCTAAAACTCTCACACACCCACACACACACACACTCACACACAAAATATAGTTCATCGGTGATAGACAGAACTACGACACAATAACGATTTGATTTTAAAAAACGCCGTACTTATCACTGCTCGTGTGTTCCTGTGTGTTTGTTTTTAATTATATATTTATATTTTTGAACTTGATTTTTCCGGCTTTTAATCTGACTGGACAATCATAGTGACACCAATAGGAAACTGCTGTCTTTTAGTCACTATACTTAGCATTTTATTTGAGCAATTCAGTCAATTCAATTTATACTTCTTTGTCTGGTTTAGGTAATGAAGTTGAGCTGTTTGACAACTCCAACAAACTCGTTTGTCGGGGTGTTGTAACTGCTCAAGCCATGGTACACGGCCGGGCACTGAAAACCGGATGGGCCGCAGTGATGATACAGGATATCTTGTCAAAGGGAAAAGTGGAGCCATGGCAAGAATATCCCACCCATTCTGGGGAAGTAGAAGAAGGGAGTTTTGTCGCCTGGCCGACTGCTTACATCCAACCGCGACGAGAAGCTCTGCAAACTGCCCGGCCGAAACAAAACCTTTCGGAGACGCAGGGTTTAAAGGATGCCCTTCATCCCGACAAGTTTGTCTCTCCCGGGACAATAATGTCCAGGGATAGACAGCTACGAAGTAGAAAGTGAAAACATTATGATTCCACTATTGCGCCATTTTACCATATTTGGACATGAGAACGCGCAAATCATGAGCCTGTAATGCCCCGGTTTGACTGTTTTAGAACAGAGCAAATACGGACGGAAAGCGTAGAGCAACAAAATGGTTGGACAAAAGGGTGCAAAATTGACTTGTTTACGTCCTTTACGCTTGACTTTTAAGCGACGACCTTTCGACGGGAACGCACTTTTTAACTCAACAGAAGGAAACTTGCGAGGACATTTAATTCTTTTTGTTTGTGTTGATTTCGTCATAATAAAATTTAAACTAAGGATAAAGTTGATCCAAAACATTTAACTACAGTCTAAGTTACTCATTAAAACACTTCTAAAGGTCTTATACACATAAAACTGGGATGTTGCAAGATAACTGTTTGCTGGAAGTTCTAAATTCACAAACATTAATTGTTAAGCCACCTGAATTCCTCAAAGCTGTCAATAAATTGGTCATATATCTTCCTTTTCTGCAATTAAAACAATAAATAACAAATATAACAATTTGCTACATCTGTTCTATTGTAAATCTATCACGAATGCTATTCTCTGATTGGCTGCCCTACCCACTATCTATTCTGTGATAGATAGTGAGTAGTAATCAGTTTGAGTCTGGAAGTTTAGAACTTGCAGAAGGAACTGGATTCTATTCTGCAGTATACAGTACTGTACACTCACCATTATCATAACATTGTGTAGTTTGCAATATTTCATTTGGTGGTATTTTTGTCTTCCAAATATTTGTTAGCTGGGAAAGTTCTCATAAGCGGACATCTAGGCTACACCTCTGGTGGCGGCCGCTTATGAGAACAGTTCTTGTAAGGTGGCCAGCTCAGTTACAGACACTTTTAACGTGTCCCGAGGGTGTACATGTATGAGAGCTTCAACTGTATTTTCATTTGTTTAGTTTCAGTATCTATGAAGGAGATCATGATAAAGTTTTGGCTAGGTCATGAAGATTTATACTAAAGCAATAATATATTATGATCTCATGATTTCTATATTATTTGTGTGATGGTTTATTTGGTTTTGCCCTCAATAATTCAGGGTCGGCCAGCGGGGGATAGTGGTATACCAGTATACCCGAAAAAGATCCGCCAAAATACCCCAAAACACCCAAGATTTCTCCCAATATACCTAAAATTAATCAAAGCGTTATATAGTCTACTATATACCCGAAATTAGTAGTATACCCATCTTTCAGCTGAAATATACCGTATACCCGAATTAAAAAAGCCCCTTAATACCATATACCCAAAAACCCTGGCCGACCCTGATAACTATCACACGATGGAGTCGTTTACAGCTAAACCTATAACGAACCTTTATGAGAGGGTGGGAGTAGAAGTCTAAGGCCTTCACAAGATCAAAAATGGAAACTTGGCATTCCATCACAAGTGCCAGGGTAAATTCCATCAGACTTGTGGTGAATGCCAAGGTTGGTTCCACTGGCGTAGCAGGCCACAAACCTTGAAACAGAAAACTCTCTGCCACACTAAAACAAGTGCAACAGAGAATCTTCAATAGATGCTGACCACCTTCACAAAAAAATATTCAACAAGGAAGAACATTGCTGACTTTATACCGATATTTTAATAACCTTAGAATTAAGCTCACCAAAACAATATAAATGTTTACAATATATTAAATAACTGCAAAAAGTGAATACCAGGACTACATTAACATGAACAACAATCATGGTTTGGTCTTTAGGGATAGCTTTACCTCTTTCATCTATAACCGTTATTTCCCTTGTGTAGGAAAATGAGCAAGAATGATAGGGATTACTCAATGTCCTGTCAGGAACAGTGTGCAATTTCCAAACACCGTCCTGAAAAATTCAGTATAAAAAAAAGACAAGCTTAATAAATTTCTTAAACCCGGGTTACTCTTCTGGGCAAAAAACAAAATTGATAATTATAAAGGTCATGCATACCTTTCTATTTCTTTAAAATGATGTTTGGTCTGATGCAGGTGATTACAGCAATCAAGGCAGAAGTATGCCGTAAAGCTACAATCCCTGCATCGACTTTCCACCGTTTTACCACAATTACATTGATGGGGCACGAAACCTTCCATTTCAACAGAGAACTTCAGCAATGTGGATCGCAAGGATTCCCAGTTTTTGTGGAGCCTTTCCTTGCGCATTTTGTAGGAGCTGGTGGAGGAAGTGGGCACCACATCATCGTCGGAATCTGGCGGGTCACCATCACACAAAGCGCACGGATCTTCCTCTTCTTCACCTTGTTCCACATCTTCCACACTACGATGTTGCTCTTTTTCCAGAGGCAGAGTAGAAGGAAGTTGGACGGTGGATTTCCGGGTTTTATTTGATCTGTCTACCACTTTAAAGGAGGAAAATCCTTTCCTCTTACCCGGCCCAAAAAACATTCCCATCAAAATCCAATATGGCGTCTCTTATGGGCAATTTAGTTACTCATTCACCCCTCCCCCAGGTCTAGATTTGTCAATAGGTCTATCCCGATTACAATGCATTAATTGACTGGTTACAACGTCATTACAAGTCCAGTAGTTACTGGGTTACAACGTGAGGAACGGGTGGTCAGTTAGCATATGTTGAAGTCCTAAATGTAATTACCGTCCTAAATGTTATAAAGTCCTAAATGTAATAACATTAGGTCCTGAATGTAATAAAGCCCTAAATTTAATAACGTTCGGTCTTAAATGTAATATGCCTCCTATGTAATCGTGTAACTGCGCTAACACTGAGATGTTAAAGTGACAGCTGTTGCACCAAAGAATCCTCTAACCAATATTCATGGAATATTGCAGGCTCACTGATAGTAATCAGCGTCTTTTTATTTGCTAAAGAAGTAGGTTGAGAAGCATTGGCTACAAAACCTTATACTGATACTGATGTGCTTTTGGCTTCAAATTGACGGACGCAAAAGCAACGAGAACGTTGACTAATAGCTCTCTTTATATCATTGGCTCAGACTCTTAAGTGTAACAGATTTTGACAAAATACTTTTGTCATCAGTGCTGAAGTTAGCACTTGATGAACCGAATTACAAGGAAAAGGAAGTCCACCGACTTATACGTTAGACAAATTCTGGGCTCGGTAGGGCATTTTTTGTACTGTCTTCCATTGCCAGATTTGTACGGGTCTGCATAAAATATATTCATATGCGTTATTGACCAAGCGTGAGGTCAAAATGGCTGGATATTGGCCGAGTTCTTTTTTTTTGCGTTTTTATGGACTGAGAAGAAGTCTCGGTCCATAAAAAAAGTAGAAAAAGAACGAGGCTAATATCCAGTAATCTTGACCATACAAGCTTGGCCAAGAGAGTTTATATTCTCTTGGCTTAATCATTAAAGGATTCATTGTATAGCAAAAGATTTCTCTTTGATAAGAATCAAGAATGGCCTGTTTATTTCGAGAGCCGATAGTGAAAGCCAACTGTGTTTGCAGCACAATAAACCCAAGAGGGTCGTTTATTTTTTTCTATGTATATGCAAGCATTGTCCAAAAGTTACGAACTTTGTAAGTTTTCTTGCGTGGGATCAATACGGGGAATCCCGAGTGGGCGAGGGTGGGCCCATCATGCACGCTCAGGTAGTCAATCAGAACACAGGATTCACTTCATCTTGCCCGCGTGCGCTGCTAGCTATATGATAAAGTGACTTACAGAGCAAGATATCTACTGACCAATCATATGTTATCCCATTTCACGATCACAGGTCTCGACATGTTCCTTTTTTTCCATTCAAGAGTCAGAAATTAACAACAAAAGGAGCTTCACACTTCAAGTTCTTCACATTGAATGAAGGAAAATATCTCACAGTTGCAAACTTTCATGATGGAAGTACCTCATCAACAAAATCAGTCAGTTACAAATGATATGGCGTTAAGTTCAACAAGTTCTAGGAGATAGCAACTGAAGGTGCCTTGGGATGTACGGCATTTATAATAAACAATGTCACTTAATACATCGCTTTCGCCAACTATTACAACTCTCAACAGGAGTATTCTGTTTAGTCCATTGTCTTCAAATGGTCAAGAGGACACTTTGTCAAACTACATTTTCTCCAAACTTACGGGGAATATGACGTAAAGTCTGTTACCATCAATGATCACATATTCCTCGCTTTTGCCTGTCACTAGTCTAGAAGTTCCTACAACACTGACTCGTTTATTTATAAATGGGATGGTACCAAGTTTGTTCTTTTCCAGTCCATTCCTACTCGTGGAGCCCTCGTTTGGCATCCTTTCGCGATCAGCCGTCATACCTATCTGGGTATGGCCAATTACTACGACAGCAGCCAGAAATACAACACTCAGTCAGCTGTGTACCAGGCCTCTGGAGCAAAGTTCATCAAGTACAAAGAGATTTCCACCCATGGAGCTCATGATATGACATCATTTGAGTACAAACGTAACACTTATCTGGCAGTGGCAAGCTACAAAAATCAAACAGCGTTTTGTACAAGTGGGTTTAGAAATAGGGACAAAAGACGAAAAGTGTGATGACCAAGAGTCTTAGTTGCTTATGCATTGGTGTAGTGATAGTATTTGCTCAAAAATCGAAGAAAAAGGTTCAGATTTAAAGATAATCAAAATTTATATCTTTGATAAATTAGTGTTTATTGATTTTTTTAAGGGTTAAATCAATACTAAAGCTGTGCATTTAACATGTACTGAAGTCTGGTTTCTTTCTAATTTTGTATGAGTAAATACCTTTCACTTTTATTGATAAAAGTTGATCCCAAGAACACTACTACCAGAAACGTTCAATATTCTAAAATGGACCAAAATACCCTCAGCTCATTTGTTCCGTGTGTGTTTTGTCACAGATATCACATCTCCTTCCACCTTCACACCCTGATGAAAGAGATCAGGGGTGATATTTCCATCTATAAAATAATTCAAATAGTACGCGCGCTCTGATTGGCTATAGAACCATTTTACATGAGCGTATGTAAACACGGTTTTCGTTCCTCTTTCATTAGTTATTTTATAAAAGAAATGTAAAATGGTTTCCGTGTTTACATAGCCTGATGTAAACACTTAGGAGGTTGGGAGAACACTCAATAAGCTGGAAACCACTCCGCTTCGCGTCGTGATTTCCTACGCCTATCTCGTGTTCTCCCAACCTCCCGCGTGTTTACATCAGGCTATGTAAACACGAAAACCATTTTAAATTTCTTCATTAATTCTGATTTCTTTTGGATCCTAGAATAATGTAAGGTACCATTATTCTAAGTAAGAAAATATCTTCGAGATTTAAAATTTCAGGCAGTTCATAACATTCTTTGCTATTATAACTCTGTTGACTTTAACAAAACCATTAATGTGATATTACAATTGCTATATAATTTATGATCTCCTCCTCAACTAGGGTTACTGCGCACATCACTTATTATAAACATTCTTTCTTTTTGCTTTTAACAGCCATAGAATTGAGCTCGGTGACAAGTTTTTAGATTGAGCAAAGTGAGGAAGGAGGCCAAGTCCAGAGTAAGGAGATAAGGAGTTTTCGAAAAATTGTCAAATTAGTTTACCTTTTCGAATGCAAATATTAAAAAGAAAATAAAAAGAAAACAAGAATGTTAGGGAACTTGTTTTTGAAGCTATTTGAGTTTACAAAATGGAGTTTTTATTTAAGAAAAAAGTTCAACTGACTAAAGATGAACTGTTGAATACCACAAGGAGTAAGCACAGGTTTCTTTAATTTCAGAATTAAAACTTATCGATGGCTCTGAGCTTTCGACATGATCGGACTTTTCTGTCTGTTTCTTCAATACAGTGTAAACATGCCCAATTAATCCCGGCTCAACAAACCGTGATCTTTTTCGTGACACTAGGTTACCACAACAACATCACAGCCTTGAAATAGCCACAAAACATCCGCTTTATCAGTTTAAACGCTGAAAAATTTGCGCGAACAAGTATCCCATTTTCTTCCCACACTTAGACAAACCCACGGATTTCTAATCAAAATAAGTCGGAGATCCTACCGTCTGATTTTCTGGACTTCCTGTTGCTGAAAAGAGTGTTCAACAATATATTATGTGATGTTAACAATTGGTATAAATGATCACTTTTGAGACGAAGTACTGGAAATTGAAATATCTAAAAGGATGTATTGATCAGATCTACTTTCAACAGATATCATATTATGCAGGCGATACAACCTATTTACTGTGGATAGGTAACGGGGAGCATAAATTCTCTACACTGAAGAAACAACAGAAGCAGGCTATCTCGCGTAGCTGGTGGCTATTCTTGTGTGCTAAAGCGACGAGGCTTCTACTAAAAAAATATGGCTCTAAATGTTTAATGCTTCCTTATATATTTAAAAGGCATTGTTATGTTCTCAAGTTGTCCTGCTCTCGAGCTGAAGCAGCAAAATTTCTGTAATATATTCTAGAATATCTTTTCTGTGACAAAATTATAAAAGAACTAATAGTAAAAAAAACTATTTCTCTGCAAAAACCAAATTTGCATGATGATCTCGTGTTAATACAATTTTGTCAAGTAATCCCTAGTTAAACAGCTTGTATGTTGTATGGAAACTCGGTGAAGTGTAGCGAGGAGCCCTTTTGGTCCAGAACAAAATGAAAATAGCACTTCTATTAATTATGGGCTTGAGGACTCAAATTTATGTCATTTAGATACCTAGACCTAAAACGAGCATATCCTTTTCAGATATCACTGTATTTTTTTTTCAGTTTTTTTTGGCTGCAATAAATCATAATCCCAGCTTTAAAACTCATGAGCCTATTCTCTCACAATTCAGTTGGACGGTTTTAGTGAACCAAGTGAACGGACAGTTTACAAACAGAAAGCAATTTATATTTCATCTGGACACGTCAGCATAACGCCGCTACACGAGATAAACACAGCGGGGTAATAAAATAGTGTGTGTGAGTCATTTGTTCAACTTGATCAGATTTCAAACGGACCAAGGTATTTACTTTCACTTGTCAACTTTTTTGGTAAGAAACCCTATTGGCGATAAGTCATAATTTTTTTCCTCAGTGACACCCTACTCTTCTATGTTGTTCTTAAGGTTATGCCTTCTGCCTCGTAATAAAAGAAGGAGAATATTATATTCTCAAAATAATTGCTATTTTCAATATAACTTGTTACTCTGCAATGCAGGTTCATTTCATCGTGGCAAAGCTGTCTCGTACATCCTTCCTAATATTTTTATTCGCACATAGCATTCAATATTAACAAGGCTACTTCATATTGAATTACACGTCATCTGCATTATAAACCAGGAAAGAACCGAAAGATTCAAGTGATGCTCTACTAGGAAAAAGGATTTTATTTAAAGGAAACTTTGGAATTATGCGACTGATGATATTTTGCTAGTTAAAATGATAATAAGGTGAATAATAAGGTCTCGTCAGTCGCTTTTCAATAATTGTGGTACAGTGTTCTGATCTATGGTTGCAGTCAGCCGATTTTTTTTCTTTCAACCTTTCTTACAATAAATAGCGACGTTACAAATACATTAAGCTCCACGAGAATGGTTTTAACAAAAATGTGCACACTTACATCCTAAATCCACGGCAGTTTACTATCTTTATTTTATTTTATTTTTATTCAACTGTATTCTATCTTGAATGAATTTGCGTGTTTTCCACTTAGTAAAAGCAAAAGAGAATTTTCTTTCAACTCACAGTATTCATATCAACTATCACATTTTTGAAAAATTCCTTAAAATGATGTAAAGCGAGCTGAGTTTTTGCTATGGACGCCTTTCCTTCCACAGATCAAAACATTTATTTTTTTTACTATTGAAATTAGTGAGAATTTACCTAAAGACCAAACAACTCATCATCACTGATAAGGGTCTAAATTCTCCTTACCAGATCACTGTACAAGATAACGATGTTTTAAGGAGACACAAGAAGTCCATTGTAGTCAGTCAGTTAGCATATCATAATCCATAAACTACAAATTCTCATTGCGAATTGTAAACACTACTCACAACACAAGCCCTTGGACATCCTGAATTTTCCTGTTATGAGGTAAAATAAACAGAGTTGGAAAGTTGTTCCCTTTATGCTGACTGATTTGTCTGCCAGTTCATATCGGAGGGCGCTGAGAGTAAAAATGTTTCGTTTATTCTTTGTGTTGGCTCTAGCCTTTTTGTTGAGTTCCGTTGCAAAATCACAGAACAAACCTGCTAATCAGGTAACCAAATTGTAGTCTAATCGGAGGAAAAAAAAACGTAAACCTAGTAACGTGATGAGTATAGTAAATGTTAGAGACTATATAGTTGCCTTTGTGTCAAGTTAATATTACAACGAGTTTGAATGACTGAAAATTACTCTGAATAGTACATTTCTTGAGAAACGAAGGTGTAACATGTGAAACCTTTTACAAAGTTGAAACAAAAGAAGTATTATGTAGAAGATATAATTTTTTAAGACGTGACTTTTGTTGCTGTTTTCGTTTATCTGTGCTTTCCCAATTTGAACTGATCGCCAATATGTTCAACATAGGACAAGATGGACGTAATGGGACAGTTGGAGCAAAGGTTATGTATTTTTAAACGATAATGTAACCATTGTTAAAAAGATTACACTGAAACGAACCTGAGAATACAAATGTGTTGAACTGTATATGACGTATCAAAGATGGCGGCCATAATATTCGTTATGAAATTAGTTAGCACTGGCTAGCCTAAATTACGCCTGCTTTGCAGGCTAGGCTTTTGGTTTCAGAATAGGTTTGATCTGCACATCGTGGAAACTTTCGAGAAAAAATTAAATTATTCGAAGAGAGAGCGTTTTACCATTTTAATCAGCGACTAATGCGCCAATGAGCCGCTAAATTCGCGAAGCAAGCAAGGTCTGAAATACCATACCTTGTGTTTAACAGAGTGACCCTATTCAAAGGAATAATAGAACGGTAGAATGACGGATTGGTGGAATAGCGTGTTGGAGGAGTGGCGGAATATTTTACAACGCAGAATGTCTTGTTGTGTGGAACGAAAGTCTCACAAAAATGGAATTGCAATGGAATTAGAAAAAGAAGAAAAGAAGCATAGTTTAATCATTATTGGACCAAGAGGACAGACCGATAGAGGAACGTTGTGGTTCTTCAGCCATATATCAATACCTTCTCCATTATTATTATCATTACTGATATGATGGTATGATTATTTGTCACCAATTTATCATTGGTTAATTATCAATTAGTCACTAAAAGGTAAGTTTTTCGTTTGTCCCACGATGCAGTCACGTGTGATGTAGATCGCGACGTTTCGACTGCATACTGCTAGTCTTCTTCAGGCGATGAGGTCGTTTTGTCATGCGTGATCTTATAAAGCATGATGCTCTGCTGTGATTGGTTGTTTTTCAACAGCTCTGATTGGTGCATTTCGATCCTTACTTATCACTCAGTGATTTGCTCCCTCGGCGGTCCGCTGTCGTGCGGCTCTCCTGTTATTGTGTTTTTTGATCGTGGGCATCTACGCTTCTGGAATTTCTATTCCATTATCCCTGTTGATGTTGTTAGGGTGAAGTCTAATGTGAATTGCCTCTTTGACCCTGCGCGTGTAGTAATAAGGATCACGATCAATAAACTTTACTTCGTTCCAGAGTGGCTTGTGTCCGGTGTTGTGGGCGTGCTCTGAAACGGCGGAGGTCTCGGTACGGGCGAGTCGAATGTCTCGATCGTGCTCCTAATTAGTCACTATATTCTTGAATCATCTTTCTATTGTGTAACAGGATATTCATAAATGTGAGATGCGGCAGGTTTTCTGCTTTTTATGTGAGACAAATCTTGTACAACACTACCTTTCAGCATCATTATACACTCCCCACTTCTTTTCAATGCTATAAAGATTGTGATATATTAGTAGCCACCTGAAACTGAACTCCTCATTTCTTTGATGATTGCCGTTTAAGTGCACAGTAAAACGTCCCTTTCAATTTTAACTGATGCAAGCTGAAGGCATAGTTGGTTGGAATAAGTTTTTTACTTGTTTTGTTTTAATGATAAATGTATTTAAGTGCACAGTAAAACACCCCCAGATCAAGGCACAAACTACGTTGTATTGAAGAAAATATTTCTAGAGCTTTTTCAATTAATTAAAGATCAGTTGAAGAAATTATGCTGAAAAGACTTATGGCCATTTAGAGGACTTAATCGTTTTATTTTATAAAATCGCGTTACGAAGATAGCAGCAAAATCAAAGACGGCAATATCGAGCCGTGTACATCAGCCACTAGCTAATTTTTTGTTCGTGGTATACTATTTCTGTTTAATCAATTTTGTTTGTATTGCCTCTACTTAAATTAAAGCTTTTAGGGAATTCTCATTATAATTTACAAAAAGTGAAATAACACCTTGCACAATGCGATGAGTTCAACCTTTGAGACACTTTTAGCCAATTAAAAGAGGCTTGACGCATCGTCTTTGATGGATGTATTTCTCACAGTAAGTCGTGTGATCTCTTGAAAATGGCGTCAAAAACAACCAATTATTTATTAAAGTTTAATCATATATTAATTTTTATGACACAAACTAACGAGAATACGGACTTTTAGAAACACCCTTAATTTGAGTTCAATGTGCCTGCAGTTAAAAGACGGGTTCGGCGACCCTCATAGTTTATCACTGAATTGCAATCAGTACAGTTTATTAATATTCATCTTTCTCAAAAATCTTTACATGCGATTCTATTCAAGTCGTTCTATTCCCTATTTAACTTTGAATATATATTTATGTTCTGATATGCTGATTGCAATACAGTGATAGAGAATTATGTGTTTTAGAGGATGGAATGCTGCTTTGGTAACATTAGTTTTGTAGAAAAACTTGTTGAACAACAGTTTTGCATGTTGAATGAATAGAAATTCCCGAAAAAGAGGAATCTGTTGAAGCTTCTGTAGGTTACAATATGGTTGTGAAACCCTTCTGAGCGAATAACCAGGAAACAACGAATGAGAGGTAAGATCTGTTAATCACTTCTTTTGTTTGTTTTTTTTTTTATCAAAGAATGTTCCACTGGTTTCCACTTCTTTGAGAAAGTTTAAGACTTACCAACCAGAGGAGCTGCAGCTGTTCAACATTTTACCATCAATGGAAGTCTGTTCCTCACCTTTGGGAACAATCATGGAGATATCCACAAATTCAAGACGAGCTCCGTGGTTTACAAGATGGATGAACCGACTGAAAAGTTCACATTCTACCAGACCCTGCCAACTAGAGGTGCATATGGCCTTGAGTACGCTTAAGTTAAGCTGCACACTTCAAGTTCTTCGCATAAAATAGAGACAGATATCTCACAGTGGCAAACTATCATAATGGTAGTACCCACTCAACAAAATCAGTCATCTACAAATGGAGTGGCGTCAAGTTTAACATGTTCCAGGAGATAGCAGCTGAAGGTGCCAGGGGATATACGGTATTTGAAATAAGCAGTGTCACATACATCGCTTTCGCTTACTATTACAACCCTCAACAGAAGTATTCTGTACAGTCCACTGTCTTCAAATGGTCAGGAGGACACTTTGTCGAATCACAGTCTCTTCAAACTTACGGGGCATTTGACGTCTGTTAATATCAATGGTCACATATTCCTCGCTTTTGCCTGCTACTACTCTGGAAGTTCCTACAACACTGACTCGTTTATTTATAAACGGGATGGTAACAAGTTCGTTCTTTTCCAATCCATTCCTACCCGTGGAGCCCTTGCAAGGTATCCATTCGCGATCAGCAGTCATACCTACTTGGGCATGGCCAATCACTACGACAGCAGCTTGAAACATAACACTCAGTCAGTTGTGTACCAGGCCTCTGAAGCACAGTTCATCAAGTATCAAGAGATTTCTTGATTTCCCATGGAGCGTTTGATATGACATCGTTTGAGTACAAAGATCACACCCATCTGGCAGTGGCAAATCAGTACAATGGGAAGTACAACATAAATAGTGCTTTGTTCAAGTGGGTGTAGAAATAGGGACAAAAGGCAAAAAGCGTAATGACCAAGAGTCTTAGCTGCTTATGCATTGGTGTGGTGATTTAATTGCATTTGCTCAATAATCCGAGAACAAGGTTTAGATTTAGGGGTTTTTTTGTCAAAATTGAATTTTTGATAAATGAGTGTTTATCAGCCTCTTTAAAAGTGAAAGTAGCAATAAAGCTGTGCATTGAACGAGATACTAACGTCTGGTTAATTCCAATTTTGTTTGAGTAAATAACTTCCACTTTCATTGATAAAAGTTAATTCCCAGGACAGTTATATTAGACACGTTCAATATTCTTATATGGACTAAAATACCCTCAGCTCATCTGTTGTGTGTGTCGTCACGTAGGTCACACCTCCCTCCCCCCACCCCCCTAACTTTTCTTTCGGCTCAAGAAATCGTAATCATTTTCATGACATTAGGTTACCATAATAACACCACAGTCTTGAAATCTGCTCTATCGGTTTAAAGGCTAGAAATCTGTGCTAACAAGTTTACCATTCTCTTTTAAGGAGACACCCTCACACATAGACAAACCCACGGATCTCTAATCAAAATAAGTCGAAGACACTTTCTTCTGATTTTCTGAATTTCCTGTTGCTACTAATTCATTTATCTTTTACAATAGAAGAGTCTTCAATAAAATATTATGGCATCATGGTAGAAGACCGACCGAGGAATTTTATCAGGTTATCAAAGCTATATTAACAACTGGTTTTTAAAGAAGGAAAAAAGGTTTCTGATGGAATCCCGGTTGATAAGTAATCGAATGACAGGGTAATTTCACCTGCGGCAAGAAGGGTCACACTTAAAGTCATTGATTGACACCCAAAAACTGACGCCATTGTCACTCGAGAAATAAGGAAGCGCTTTCCTGAAACTGAAAGATTTCTTGGTCACCGAATTCTTCCCCGGGCGGTTACTGCCGTCCTAGGTTGGGGACTGCACTCTGGTGAAGAAACAGAAGATGACAAAAGCCGCTAGAAGATTGAAATATTTTGAGTCAGCGACGCGCGGCGAACTAATGAAAGTGGCTAGACTCCATTTGATCTTATGGAAGAATCGCAATGACACAATCTGCAAGTATCATTTGAATTGTTCCCTCGTAAAGTTCTCTCTAGCTTGAAGGGCTTTCCGTTTTTCTTTACTCTCTGCCATTGATATTCTCTACATCGCGCAGAATGCCTATTGTTCTCGAGGCATTTAGTTGCAGCAGCCAAAAAATTAGAGATCCTAATATTAATATAATATTAGCGGCAAAAAGTATTGTGGAGAGCTTTGATTCATTCATCCTGGCATTCCCTCTCAGGGAAAATTGCTTTAGCTCATTAACTTGTCAGGGCGGAGCTACGAAACAATAGCTTAGAAAGATATTGTTTATGTTATTGTTAGAAAAAAATTACACCTTACATGCGTGTGTTACAACCTGGAATAGCGCTCGATTTTGAAACCGTCGTTATATATTCATCTCGTTCTTCATCTTACTCAACAAACGCTTTTAAATCATAGTTAAAGTTAATGTTTGTGTGGGAGGCCGAGGCTTCCCGAGTTCTATGTATCATCACCCTGTCGAAGTTTCCTTTGAGGTTAAGGCCTCAAATAGTTTAGCACCCCAACGGGCATTTTGCCGCATTTTACTCCTGGCAATTGAAAATCATATTATCAACGCTGCTACGCTAGTTTCAGCCATTTCTTCTCTAATTATGGGCTTTTCGAGGCGCGGGTGCATTCAAATCTTCCGCTTCGGTGCTGATGAATAATTAATGATGTCCAGGCATTCTGCGCGGTGAACCGCCTCCTTGTTTTTTTCATTGCAAAATTAATGAACTCTTAGAAAGAAAGTCGATTTGAGTGCGTATTGAACTCTCTCCAAGTCGCCACTTGCTCGGCTGCAGAAATCGCCACCAGTGCGCCGAAGATTCTTTGATTAACCATTCTTACAACCCCCTATTTCTTACGCTGTTCCACTGCTTTTCGCAGGTGCAAACATAGGATCTACCTCTGGATGCACCTTCCAGATATTTCATAGCGGTACAAAAATCGATACAAATAAGAATTGTTCTATTCTGAACCAAAATAAACAAAGTTGGACTCTCTTTCTTAGAGGAAGTCGAATTGAGTGCTCATTTTAAACTATCCTCTGCATTCCAAGGGTTCTCTCATCACAAATACACGCCAAGACGGCGTAACCACAATAGGCGTGGCCTAACTTGTTTTTGTACCAAGCCTCGATTTGGGCATATTATGGTATTCGTTACACCCGCTTTCTTCTTTTCTCTCATTCCTCCCTTTCAGCGAAAACAATCATAGGGAAGTCTTTTCAGTTCTTTTTTGCTATCTAACCTTCTTAAGCCGTCTTGGCACTTATGAAAGACAAACAAAGGGAGGAAAAGAGACGAAAGGCTTAAGTTGTAACCAAGCCTCGCCTCCGAATCTAACTTGTCACTTTCGCTTTTCACACAGGATACCCAGGACAGGACAGGGTACTTAACGAGACCCATGACGACGACGGTTATATTTTTCGTATTATAATCAGACTATCGCAAAACAAAATGAATTAAAAATTACTTATTTCGTCTTTGTTTCGCCGCCACATCTGTAACATTGTATTTCAGTTTACGCATGAGTCGCAGCAAATTATGGCATTCCTGGAAACGCTAACATTTTCTTTCTCCTTTTATTCATTCATGAACTAGAAATGTTGATATATTGAGAATCAGAGTTGAGCTATTCATAATTCACGAGCGGAGGAAACATTAATTTGATAATTTTTTGTACACAGTTCAAGTAAATAGAGGAAAAAGCTGAGCGGAAGGATCCATGATTTACCAAGAGAAACTATTTTATAAATTTACTGAACAAGGTTTTAGAATTAGTGTGTAGTTAAAAGTATAATTATCAAATAAGAAAAAGTGGGCAAAAACAATTATTTTGAATAGTTTCACGAGTTCCTTTCTCTGGTAAACTGCACAGACTAATAAGTGATATCCATTGATGATCACTTCGACAATATTCAATCAAAGTTTGGCTCTGGTAAATTCTGTTATAAAATAATTTATTTGAAGCGAAAGCTCTTTCGTTCTTCTACTAAAACATTTTGGCTCTAAATGTTCAATGTTTCCTTTGTATATTCAAAAGGCATTGTTATGTTGTCAAGCCGCTCCGCCCTCGGGCTGAAGCAGCAAAACCCCAGTAGTGAAACAAAAATTTTATGTTTCGAATGCTCTTTTTTTTCATCGTAATACATGTTTTATATTTTCCAAATTACTTCGCCAAGTTATTCCTCCTGGGAACAAATAGATGGAGTGTCAGTTATCGATGATGATATAAACATCTTTATAAATTCATAGTCGAAAGTATTAGCAATTGTCGAAAGTTCATTTCTTGTTTACTCAGTGATTAGAAATCTCCGTTCAGTATTGATTTTTTCAGTTGAAGTCCAGTTTTCCGTTTTGAAAGCCTCGTTCATTTATTTTTATCACATTAACTGTGGTGTTATGCAGGGATTTCCGGCCCTGAAAAATGCCGTAACAACACACGTGAAAAAATATCGTATTTTTTCACTTGTGTTGATATAGCCAATCAGCTGCTGAACGTCACTCGCCTTTGGCGCCACTCGATTCTCGATACAAGTTGTTTATCGGAGCTTCCTCGAATTATATGGCGGCTAAAACACTAAAAAATCCTTATTGCCGACTGACAGTGACTTAATAAAGATAATAATAAAGACTTTATTTTACGAGGGTAACACATAATAGCATAGCTAATAAACTTGTGGCCCTCACTCAGAAATAATTACAATATAAAAACTAGTATAATACAATATAAAAATAGAAACTAATATAATATAATATAATTGCAAGATAAGTAAAGAAACTAAAAAGGAAACTATACACGAAAATGACTTAAAAATTGTTGCTGCGAAAAAATATTAGTCCACATGTTGTGCTTAAAGCACCTTATGCTGTCCGCCATCCGTATGCGTAGTGGTATCTCGTTCCAAATTTTGGTTCCGGTGACGAGAAAAGTGCGCCCACCTTCAGTTTCCCTGTTATATCTGGGGCACAGTACATTAAAGTTTGAATAGCGCGTAGTTCTTGAATGTCTTGAGTTGTTGATCGGAATATGCTCGTTTAAATAGCTAGGTAGTGCACCGTGGATTCGTTTAAACATTATCGACGCTTTGTCAATCTTACACTTCTCGTAAAAAGGAATCCATTTCAGTCTATTAAAGAGTTCTACGGATGGAGCCATCCGCTCTGCGTAAAGGATGACTCTAGCAGCGCGTTTCTGCAGCTTAAAAACTCTATTTAACAATTCTTTATCACAATTAGACCAGATGGCGCTGACATAACTCATAACCGGACTAATAATAGAATTGTAATACTGAATGCGTTGAGGAAGCGGTAAATACGTGCGAATTTTTCGCAAAATGGCAATACGCGAAGCCAGTTTTTTGCAGACTTTATCAGCGTGTGCATTGAAAGAGAGCGTGCTGTCAATATTTAGACCTAAGAGTGAAACACAGTCGACATTTGCTAAAGCCTTTTGGCTAGTTCCTAAAATAACTAATGCGTCCTGCTGGATCCTGGGC